ATGATGTCGATGGGTGGACGTTGGCCGACGGATCCGCGACTTGCGCACCAACAAAGCCAGCAGCGCAGCGCAGTGAGTAGCAGGCTCGGCGATACGTTTCAACAAGAAGAAAGAAAAAAACCAGGAGGCAGAGCTGGGACGAGTGGCGGATCAAATATTGGCTTTGTGCGAGGGGTACACCCATGGTAGATGGTGCACTGCCCGGCCGTCGTGTACGGCTTTCTAGATGAGGCCTGGCTTGCGGGATTTTCGACATGTTTTATTTTGTACGCCAGTGGTTGCGAGAGCCAGTTGACCGCTGCGTGAGATTTGCAGCGGCCGCCAGCTGCGGGCCATGGGCCATGGACAATGGGCCATTGGCCAAGGCACTGGGTCGCTGGGCCGTGGCCGACAGCTGTTGCAAGCCGACGGCACTGAGGTTAAAGGCGACGACGCATTGCTAACCTCATACTTGTGGACCGCGGATGGTCCACCGAAAACTCTGCCAAGTACTGGGCTGGCCCACGCAATTAGGGATCAAGAGAGCCAGCCGCTTTTGTCGAGATTATCAGATAGTAGGTACATGCTATGTACATACATGGACACAAGTAGCCACGCAAGCACAGTGACGCCACTGCCCTTCGCAGCCCTGTCTATCCCGGAGCATGTCACCAGCATCGTCACCATCATCAGCATCATCATCATCACAACCACTTGGATTCAGGCACAACCATGCCGCCCTGAACTCCGAGTTCGTCCGATAGCCGTTGGTGGTAGAGTAATTCCGCTTGGATCTACAGTACATATGACGTGCCGACAATGACACTTGTTTACATATTACAAATTAGGCCACAAGAAGCGCAAGTCTGCTTCCAACCCACGCCCATGTCGACACCAACATACGAGGACCCTGTTCTCTGATACTCGTCTCCCTTTGTCCCCATTAGTCTTCCTACTTACATACTATATACGCAGCCATGCAGCCACACTCACACAAACACGGTGCCGGCCTCGTCCAAGCATCCGCCATTGCCATGGCACGCGCGCAGCCAAGCGAGGGGCTGTACGATTAGCAACCCCCGCATCTCAAGGGCGTCGACATGCACACCGCATTTCGCTACACAAGCCAGTCGCAGCCCCCCAGCTCGCAGGGCCTGTCGACACGACAAAGCCGTTGGTAATAAACAACTGTCCGCCACCCCACCACGACGGTCTGACCACTCAACACGCGCACACCGGGGCCTGGCACGCCTGCACGGCCATTGTGATAACTGGCGACGGGCGACGGGCGACGGGCGACGGGCGACGGGAGTCGTTGCATGCAGCTTGCCTTGTGCACGGCCCTGTGATGCTTCCGTCGCCTTGGTAAGAACCGTTGTCTTGGGGCGCTGCAACGTGACCGGCCCGGCCCAGCCAAATGCCACATAGTCAAGTACATACATCCAATCCACTACTCACATAACTACAGGAAGCACCTCGTCTGCGTTTGTCAGCCATGGCCAGCGTGACGGAAAGAGGAAAAAATTGGTCACGGCCACGTCTAGTCTCCACGACTGAGACACGGCTGGCAGTTGGTAGTGGCCAGATGCATGTCTTTTTATTTTTTTTATTTTTTTGCCTCGGCATGAGGCATAACCACGCTTGTTCCTTCTGCACTTGGCCTTGATATTTGCCTCCATTTGCCTGCTCAACCATGGGCCGTTTTGTACCAATCGCTCCTTCCGTGATGACAAACTCACAAACCACTCAACAAGTTTTTTCCTTCTCCTTCTTCTTTCCATACGTCGCATGTCCACACACCACCCAAGCCACGGTCCCTGTGCTACCTTCACACCCAACTCACACGTAGCCGCCCACCCCCACTACAATTGCCCGATCCCATCCCATCCTCCGCATTTAACATTGCCTGGACCCTGTTCCAAGACAACCAAGCCATGGGCCCATATTTTACCATTTGTGTATGGTAGCACCCGTCCATTCCCAAAAAAAAAACCCTTGCCTCACTTTTCTGCTCACGGCAGTCGCACGCGAAAGGTACAGGCAGGTCGGGGAACCCGGTCCAACGGGTAAAAGAGTCGTGCCCGCGTATAAGTAAACAGTGGGCCGATTGGCCTGCATGTGTACAAAAATGGATAGTGGGCATGATTGGTTAGAGCAACACATTGCACACAGAGCGTTGGATACTCAGACACACATACCGTGTTTGTGCATGTGTAGTGTTGTACCGTCTAACAACAATATCCTTCATACCCATTCTCAACGGCTGTTCCTGTCATCTCCCACCTTCTGCCACCCCCGCATCTCCTCACCCCCCTCTGTATCCTCCACAAAAATCCCAAAGTCAACCTTTGTCTTCTTGCTTCCCTTTTGCCCATACAGCTCCTTCTCCAGCGCCTCCGTGTCCGCCCTTACAAGCTGCTTCTCACAGTATCCCGTCCGCTGTCTCGCCGCCCTCGCCATTGCAAACGCTGCACGTAGAGGCGTCATACGATATCCCATCTGCACGAGCGTACTACCGTGCTGCGAATCCAGCCATAGTATGTACATGCTTACCACCCACGCTGAAGTCACAAAGACAAAGAGACCGGATAGCAGTGTCGAGAAACCCCATTCGTAAGACGGGTGCGCAGTGTCGGGCAGACAACGCGATTTTCCCTCGAGATACGTCTCGTTGTAGGCGATGGCCTGGTGGCAGTAGCCGAAGCTTGTAACGAGGTCCTGTGCGTCGTACGTCTTGTCCTTGATGGTTACAGGTACGGTCGAGTTGCACGAGTAGGTTTTACGTGAGTTGCGGTCGGGGTAGTCGACGTCTTCGAATGTCTGTGTGTTGGACGTGAAGTTGTAGATGCCTGGTGTTGCGCAGTTAGCGGTGCTGACAAAATGGTGCAGATGGGGGTGTTTAAACTTACAGCCCAAGCTCATAACTTCGTAGAACTGAGCAGTGCGCCCCATTTCATTGATCTCTTTGCCGGAGTACCTTGTTCCGTTGGGAACCTGACAGTCACCTGCAACAAACATCTGTTAGCCCCCCCCCCCCTCGTCACTGATGTCACCTCATCTCGCATCGGCCTATACTTACACATTTCGAGCCGCTGACCCATAAACCACGAGTACTTGTCTTTCACCTGCGTATCCACACACGCTGGCTGGGCAAACGTCTCATTCACTGTCCCCTTGACCATCCACGTCTTCTTCACCGATGACGCCGGCACAATATTGTCCACGCCCTCGATATCAATCCACGCCACAGACGTAGCATCGTATCCCGTCATGGCACCAATCACAATCGGCAAGGTGACGATATACGCCGTAGACCACAGCATGTAGAAAAACAACGCCTTGGTCCTCTTACTCTTCGCCACCCACAACTCAACAATCAACGTCGCAATCGACGTCAACTTGGGCCCCTCGAGCGCTATCCGCTGAAACGTAATAAACGACGCAGGATGCCTCTCAATCGACTTGAGCAGCGCATTGCAAAAAATGATATACGACGCCCACGACGCCAGCAGCTGCAAACCACGTCCGATACCAACGTCCCACGCAATATCAATGGCCTTGACCTGCGAGAACGTGTACTGCCCAAACGTCGTGTCGAGCGCAAACACCTTTTCCATGCCTGTGATTGTCGAGTTTGCGGGGCGTCCGCCGATGCTGCCGCCGCAGGAAATCACTTTATCGAGGAAGAGTGAGGAAAAGGGGGCGCGGCCTGCGTAGGGCGGTGATGTAGCTTCTCCTAGGATAACGAGCGGGACGACTGCCGTGGCGAGAACGAGGGTGAAGGCCAAGATGTGGTTTCTTGTCCTGGACGTCCATTTCCAAAAGGAGGATTTGGCGACGGTGTCCGCTGTCTTTTCTTGAGGCGTGTACATGATATCGTTGGGCACGAGGTTGTCGGTTGAGGGGACGGATGCAATAACGAGTCTCTCCCCCTCTTTCTTCCCCACGCTGTTGCTACCGCTTGTGTCCATGGCTTGTGTGTGTGGGGGGTGTTTTGGACTTTACGATATGCGAAATACACACACACCGCCAAGTGCTCAATCGTAGTGCCGAACAACACTAATGCTTAGCTCTCGCAGCGGAACAATAGACAAATCAAATCAAACTCAATACAAACTCAAAGATACAGAACAAGAAGTAAGAGAAAAAAAAGGGAGACATCAAGATATGTATACAGCTACCAAATTGCTAAATAGAGCATCCCCCCCCCCAGCGCAGGACGCCTAAAAAAGCGGAAAATTGTCTTGGTATTACAACCAGGCCATGTCACCTTTCCCCCCATTAACGGGCCGAGTCCCTACAGAATGCAAATTTCCCCTTGCTTCCTTCCTTCTTCCCCCCCTCCCACCACTAATTTAGCCAGTCAAACTATTCTAACTGTGGTACATGGTAGCGGTTTTTTTTGTACAAGCCAATACTCTGGTCTATCATAGTACTCCGTTACACTTCTCCACTAAAGCTATAAAGATAACATGAAAAAAAAAGACAAGGACAAATAGCATTTTTGTCAATTACTTTACTTAGACTACATAACAACAACAACCACCCCCCCTCTCTCTCTCTCTCCCTCTCTCCTCAAAACATGCGCATAAAACAGTCAGAAATCCTTCTTACGTTCTTCGGGAAAGTTGAGGGAGGGTGGGGTGAGGAGGGGGGAAGGGGTTGTGAGGCTGAGTACAACGAAACACACACTAGTGGCCGGAAAGCGGTTTAGGTCCAGGAACGTGAACCCCTAAAAGTTGCTGGGATGACCCTGGCTCGACTCAGCTGTCTTCATGATAAGCCACTCAACGGGCTGTACTACATTTGGCAATGGAAAAACAAAAACAAAAACGTCCGCGCAGCAGATGAATGTGGCGCAGGACATGTGTGCAATAACCATTGTCACCCAATCGCATCCATGTTTCCAAGTCTGAGCAAGAGGATTCCATGTCTTTTTGTCCAACGCGCCAGGCATATATTGACCGTAAATATATGTACAAAGTGCCATCCAACGTTCAAAGCTTTCTTGCTCGGCAACCTCAGCTCTGAATTGGAGTCCCACTGCGGCTGACCGCATTGCCAGAGCTGTTGTTTCGAGCAAGAGGCGTTGCGCTCCGACTTCGCTCCCTCTCTCGCTCCCGCTCTTCCGTCTTGACCCGTTCTCGCGCCTCTTCAACAAGCCGCTTCGCTTCTCTCACGTTACGCATCGTTCTGCTGAGCTTGCCCTCCTTACCTTCTTGAAGCTTCTGCAGCTCGCCTCGTGCCTCAATATCTTCCTTGGTCTTGGTAACAAAACTCTTCAGACTGACCTTGATGTTCTGGCGGAGATCTTGGCCTTCGTCAAATATCGCATCGCTATCACGGATCGACTTGACATTCTCAACGCGTCGGGTAAGGTAGAGAGTTGGACGGCGGTTTGCGTTGTTATGCTGATCACGACGCTGTGCAATGATGCGCTGGACCTCTTCTTCATAAGCGGCTTCGTAGACATTGATATCCACATTAGACGGAGATTCGGAAACTACACATCCTTCTTCAGGCGCCGGCTGAAAGTTCTCGCCGGTTCCAATGTTGAGGAAGAGCGTGTCCTCCAACGGGTTATGTGCCTGTCCTTTACCAATGGGCGTGGTTGGTGAAGATGCCGACGGAATGGTTCCTGTTGGGCTGGAGATGGATTGAATTGGACCAGGTCGGATTGCCAGATTTTCGCGTGAAATCTTGCCCTCTGAAAAGCCCGGAGAGGTTTGCATAGTCGGACTGCTGGTGGCAGTGAGTCTACTGGGGCGCTTTCCTGCTTCTGTACGGAAACCAGGTTTGGAATATGCCATGTCGTCCATATTGTTCGGCACTCTTTGTCCTTTGTCGTCAACCTTGATGGGGTGGTGCACCCCCTCCGCGGAAAGTGCAGCCTCGACTGGCCGCCGGTCATGTGTGTCCTGTGATTTTGATTTGCGCAACGCTGATGGCCGCATAGACAAGGGAGGCTGCACAATGCGCGAGGCACTTCCTAGTATACTTTCTATCCGGTCTGGTCGTCGCCTGAACAATAGTTGCTTGAAGCGCTTTACTGCACGTACCTGTCTGTTGTTAGCTTGGGATGGATGTAAGAATTGCACGGATGCAAAGGGAAGACATGCACCTACCACTGTCACAAGGTGGCCCATGTTGCCGGTAATGGCAGCGTTGACTTCCTCGTCTGTAGGTGGTTCAATAATCACAGCGACATTCTCAGACTTTGCTAATAAAGGGTCCGTTCCGTTTCGTGTGACCCATGGGTGTTCCTGCAGGTGTCAGCTCTGATATCTTAGGATTAAGCGTTTCAACTCACCCTGATTGCCTCCATGGTTATCCTTTTCTTTGGATCTTTCTCCAAAAGCCTCATTAGCAAATCTTTGATGTCGTCACCGCATTCTGTTTCAAACTCCAGTGAGTCCATTCGTATCGATTGGTACAGCTCGATCATGCCGCGTTTTTCAAAGGGTATCCGCCCAAAGAGGAGACAGTATAGAGTGCATCCCATTGACCATATATCCGCAGCTCTTCCTGAGACCTGGCCGTGTTTGGCCACGCACAGTTCCGGTGGCATAAAAGCAGGTGAGCCAGCAGACTTGGCCGTCTTCATCTCGCCTTCTTTGTCGAACATTTCCGAAACACCAAAATCGACAATTTTCAGCACATCCTCTTCGGTGACCAGGCAATTGTCAGGCTTGATGTCTCGATGGATGATGCCCTGGGCATGTACTGGCAGTGGTTAGCGCTAGACGGAAGCACATGGCATACCGGACGTACGGTACTCTAAACCCAATATCATATCTCTGAACCAACACCGACATTGCTCCTCGCTGTAGGGGTCGGCACGCTCTTCGAGGCCGACTTGCATAACAACACCTTTCTTGCACATCTCCATGACCATGTAGAGCGAATCCTCTTCAGGGTCGTCGAGCACTTCGATCAATGTGACGAGGTTCGGATGGTGCAGCTTCTTCATGATGGCGATCTCTTCCTTGATGAGTTCAAAGGCATTGTTTTCTTCGGTTGTCGAATGTCGGTGGAGCGGAGAATTGAAGCCTATGCCGGCTGGCAGCGCGCGCATTCGTTTACTCGCCGCTGGCCGACGGAGGAGGTTGGATTGTGCCCGTTTTCGCAGTCGCGATTTTGAGAACTCCTTGACAGCCTACGCCATGTGTCGTCAGCTACAGTCATTGTGTGTACCGCCCAGGTTACCCGCATCATTATATCAGGCATTGCGCCTCTCCCCCATAGCCAGCGGTGTCTGGAGAGCTGGTATCCTCACATATTCTTGACCATACTGGTCTACAGCGAGGTGAACAGCACCAAATGAGCCGCGGCCAATCTCCTGTTTCACCAAATATTGGTTGATGCGATGTTGGGCGCTGCCGTCATCTTCGCTATTGCTGTATTCGGACCGCGCATTCAGCGTTTCCTGCAGCCCGTTAGGCTCTACACATGACAAGATTTATTGATTGGCTTCTCGGGGTGAATGCTGGCAGCCATTGGAGTGCAGAAGCTGGTGCCAAGTTCAGGTAGCTTCGCCAGCGCCTGCATCAGGCCTATGACGTGATGGAGGGCCGATTGGACAGGCGCTGGATGGTGCACTCGAGCGGAACTCAGCTGGGGGGAGGGAATCGCACCTTTACACGTCTGGTGGATGAGGCTGCGCGCGTGTGGTGTCGTAGCGGGCTCTGGTATGCGGGTGTTGACCTTGACAGCATCAGCATCTTGGTGGGGTAATGGGTAGTGAAGGCAGCCCGGCAGGCAGCAACACACACATGTACTTGACTGGCGGAGGTCGACCGGCGTCGCTGAGGGCGGGAACGGCGAGGGCAGGCTGTGAAGTGTAGAGCTTGAGGTCAGGTTCGGATGGGCGTTTGCTCAGCGGGTCGGGCGAATGGGACATGACTACACAGGGCGAGGGTCAGCCAGGGGGGAAAGATTATGGCATCCAAGTGCAGTAGCAGTAGTACGGAGAGTTAAGATTGAAACTGGGGGCGGGCTAGCAGATAGCAGGTTGCAGGTCGCAGGAGAAATAATATGGGGAAACCCGGGACGGCCAGCCCGCAGCAGAGAGGGGCCCTTTCTCTCGCTGTGCACTTCTTTCAGCCTCATCAGCCCGTCGTCGAGCAATCAATCACCACCCTCGTCCCCGCGCCCACTATTGCCATTAGGCCAGGCCCACCCGCCCGCTTCCCTTGGCGGCATCCTCCCCGACTCGCTCCATCGCGCCTTTGACATATCCGTCTTGATTGTCAGCTATCGTGTCTGATTGTCCAGAACCCATTGGCGCCGGCTGCACCTCCCCGAATCGTCGCTTCGATAGTACATCGACAACACCACAACCCCAACCCCGCATCCCTCCCAAGTCCACCCTCACCTGCTGCAGCCTGACGCCGTCTTGTCTCTCCTTGTTCCCGATCGCAATGGTCCTCTATAGCTTCTACATCTTCGATCGGCACAGTAAGTCGCTATCGTTGTCCGGCGATCGGAGCCCATGACAAGCCCGCCGTGCACGCTGCTGACCGCACAATTGCAGCCGAGTGCATCTACTCGCGCCGCTGGACTCCTGCACGCCCAACCTCATCCTCGTCCAAACCCACCACCGCTGCCGCTGCCGCCGCCGCCCGCCCGACCTCTGGCAACTCGATTGTAAGCAATGGCGACGTCGTGGCTGCCGTCCGCAAGGGCATGTCGCACTCGGACGACGAGAAGCTAGTCTTTGGCCTCGTCTTCTCCCTCCGCAATTTTGTCACCAAGCTCGGCGGCGCCGACGATACCTTTCTCTCGTACCGCACCGGCGAATACAAGCTCCACTACTACGAGACACCCACGCGCATGAAGTTTGTCATGCTCACCGACACAAAGGTCATCAACCTGCGCCAGTACCTGCACCAGATCTGGGCCAACCTCTATGTTGAGTATGTCGTCAAGAACCCGTTAGCCCCCGTCGAGCATCCCGGGGGCATTGGAGTTGCCAATGAGTTGTTTGAGCGGGGCTTGGAGGCCTTTATCACCGCCGTCTTGCCTGTGTGAGGACACCTAGGACACAGCAAGAGCTACACGAGATAGAATAGCGTCAGTCTTGTAAATGAGACAATACGTGTACGGAGGATGCCGTAGTGCCGATCCAACATTGTGCGGCGCAGGACTCGATTTTCCGAAGAACGGAGATGTTCCAGGAGACCGGATCATCGTCGCCTTATCATGACCATCCACGAAGCTGTAGGGACTTGACCTGCAAATCAACATGCAGACGACAAGACAAGCTTCAGAAGGTGGTCGGGAGCGGCCGAACGCATATGCACCCCAGCCGATGCCCCACATGCACAGCCTCACTTGACCTGAGTCCCGGGACGCCGTTCCCCAACGCTGCCTGCAACATGCATGGGATGTGGGCATGATGTGTTGAGTGTCAAAATAGCATAGTTTCATAGCAAGAATTCGAAGTTGAGATGTCACACGTGCCATCTTGTATCACGATTTACTCTCCATCTCTAAAGGATCTTCTCGACACTACATCCGTGCCACTATCCCTTTATTTCAGATTTTAACCCAATGTCTCCTAAAGCCTTTGAACGTAATCGCCTCTTTGGTGCAAAATACTAGACATGATTACTTATGACCGGGCTCGGGACGCTACCCTGCCATCGCTGCTGTCAAGTATTATCAATTCTGTCCTCACTTCTTGCTGTGGAGTCGCTTCACATTATCTTCTCCTATGACGGCTTAGCTTTTTTTTTCTCTGTTTGCTATATAGCGTATCAGATCAATGATCTCAGAAAAGAATGGCAGGCCACGTCTTCTCCCATATATTGTGATCTCCTGATCTCATCGCAACCGTGGTTCGCTGTCTTCCTGCCTTCGTCGCAACCATGGTTGATTTAGTTGTCGCACCCAATAGAGGTGTCCATTTTGGTATTATTATCAATCGATTTTTGGGGGTTCAGAAGCCGGATCTTGCTAACGCTTATTCAAATCCTTTTACTCTAGCTGCGAAGTCATTTTCTTGATACTCGATTCCAGCAAGTTAGCGTGCGGCCTGCCACTCTTTTCCTAGGATACTCAACCTGATAAGCTATATAGCAAACACATATAAAAAAAAAGCCAAGTAACCCAAAACTTGCCTAGGGACCTGTTCTATCTCATTTTTCTCTTCTTCAGTCCCTACATTATGCCAGACAGTAAGTGTGCCCCGCTTCTCGTTTCTCTCACCTGATATAAAATTAGTTGCGATCATTGCGTTTTGTTATCCTATTGACTGTTATAGCATTCTACCTCCACATCAACGGGGGCGAAGTAGTAAGTCCAAGCTATAAACTGAATATTGTTTTCTTGAACAACATAGCTAATATTGCTATGCATAGATATTTTCCCATTCATGGAGGAATAACAACGGAAGAGGACGAGGTGGCAAGGTGTGTTGGAGGTATGTTGACTATTACCTACATGTTATGTTGTTACTAACAGTTTGAATTCAGCTGTGGTGGTCGAGGCCACATAAGGAGCCAGTGTCCGACGTTTCACGCACTGGTCCAGACCGCTGGTGGCGCCCAGAAACCAGTACATGAGACTGCTGGTGGCGCCCATATGGCGCAGGCTGCCCCAACATGCCCAGTTGGGTTGCGGTGTCCTGGACAGCTGCCATGTCCTGCGGGAACTCTATGCTCTAAGAGCCTTCCTGTACAGCGGCCGTGTCCTGCCGGCGTTCTATGCCCTACGAGCTGTCCTGCTGAGGAGCGCTGTCCTAGGCTTCAGCGCGTCTTGGGGCTTCGTGGTCCCCCTACACAGTAGTCGAGGAGATCGAGGAGATGTGTTAACTTTTGCCTACATATTGTATTAGTCGGTGCTTGGTCGATTGAGGCGGACAAGGGGCGCAGGAAACATAGGTATGCAGATAAGGACAAGATGCACAAGAATGACGGAGAATGCAGCCTGCACGACCATTTAAAGAAGCAGGCAAGTCAAGCCTTAACCACTGTTCGAGTGAAAAGACAATTGTAACCGTCTCATGAATCATCTGGATAGGCGCCGTCTCGGGGTTATACTTGTTGTCTTTGGACTCTGCGAGCGATATTTTGTGCACCAACGGCACCATTAGTATGCACAGCACCCGCGCACCTAGTGGAAAAATCCATCGGTACTTCATATAGGTCACTACTCAATTAAAGTCAACAACGCTCTATAAAGTCGGCAACCTTTGGGCTTCATAGAAATCCTATAATGATATTATACCGCATTCCTTAAATCGTGAGGGATAATTGTGAAGGGTGTTAGTTTGTTATTTATCTACGTTGTCAACACACTCTTCAGATGTTATTATGTTTCGGGTACGGTCTGGCGTCTACCACGGTCTATGAATTTCATCTCCATCTAGGCCGATCTATATTGTGATATCAAATGATGCCTAGATATCGCACTGACTGTGTGTGTTTTTCTGCGGAGAGAGTGGTTTCGTGAAGCCATCTGCAGGCATACCTGTTGTCGAAACCCATTGTGGTGCATCTTACTGATCTACCCCTTAGTCTCATGAGAGCTTAGATAAAGGCAGTTCTTCTGTCCCGCGTCGGGCGGGATCTTGGCTGACCGCCGTTCCTTCAACCCAGGCCTCATCTTCACCTCGCCGCACCTCACTCCCAGGCTTTCCGCAGGATCTGAGATTGACTCAATCCTCCTTCCTCTTCTCTTCTCACACACACGAAGGAGCCTGTGCAATGGACCATCGATGGGTTTGTTGACAAAGGCTTACTCAGAACCTTGCTCTCAACTCCAGATGATCGTCCCGAGAAGATATCCGCCGCCGTCTACTTCAAGACGAAGTACGGCATCGCCGTCGCTGGTGGCGTCTCAGTAGTCAGAATGACGAGAACCAGATCCGCGATTGGCCTCTCTACATGCCGATCGATGTTCACAAGATTGGCACCACCTCTGTGCCGCGAGGCTCAGTAACACACAGACATCCAGCATGATCAGGTCTGCTGTTACTCTTTGCAAGGATCGCTGAACAGCTTATTCAGCAAGGGATCCATCTACTTATTCGGATCAACGACCCATATCCCAGTCACATGGGACTTGGGTCAACCCCAACGCCGCTATGGTTCAGGCTCATACCTTACCTTTACCAGTTCATTTCGATCTGGGCTCAAAGGAAGCCATCATTAAACGTGCTGGTATGACACAAGGCCGATGGAGGCTTGATGTACGAGAGTTTTTCATGCCAAGCAAGGAGCGTCCGATCAAGACTTGAGGCGTCTGCGACATTCGGGGTCATGGCGATCCACTATCCACAGCTGCTAAGCCTTATCCTTAAGCTTATCCAGATCTACAAAACCCATGGGAATCACCTCCTTTCTCATCATCCTCATGACTAGAAGCCATGGATATGTCTGGACCCCCTCGTCCACCAATGGTGACACCACCCAACCCCACCTACTTCCCTTCTAGGTGATCAAGACACTGACGTGTATCACAGCATCGGGAAGTCCTCTAATATCCATCTCAGCTTGACTTCGCAAGGGCTCCAGGCGAAGAATATCATATTTGCCCAGAAGCAATACACGAACAACGTGGGCATGAAGATCAACGCCAACCTTGGTGGTGCTACCTGTATCGCGAAATCTTAAGTCGTTCCTGAGATCGCACCTCGGGCTGCCTCGATACCTACGATGTGAATAGCGCTGAATTCTCTCATATCGCCTTGTCGAAGCTCCATATCCTCTACTGATAGCGCATTTCGATACTTTCTCATGCCTTGAGCGATGCGTGGTTAGGGCTTGGGGCGATGCGGCCTGGGGGCTAGATGATCCTTTACCTCGCATTGTCTTGTAGTGCTCGAACTGAGGCTATCCCGATACTTTATTATGCGAGCAATGATAAATTTTCTTTCTTGTATCTAACATACACCCACCTCACCCATGTAGCTAATTCTCAGCATTGGTGGATTTCCGGACCCAATAGCACCTCTGCAATCGGTGCCTCGTGTCTGCGATATAAGATCAGTTGCCTAATTCAGTAACTCCTCGCTTTCCCATTAATCTCTGAGCGAGCTCTGAGTATTGGAAAGGTGCAAGTAAGCGGTGCTGCCAGTGATGGGAAGAATAGCCCATTCTGGAGTACCCATGTTTTTGTCCACTGGGTGTCACAGTACCGCTGAGGCCCACGGTGAGCACAGCGCAATTGTCGCTAATGAGGAGTGCAATCGAATATGTGTTGCAGCCGACATTGTTAGGGCAGATGGGGAGAGGGAGGGGAAAGAAGCCAAACACGGGGATCTTCAACAAGTCGTTGAACACGACGAAATTTATAGCTCATACGGATTATGTTGATAAGTAGGACCATCCCAGACGTGTCCGCGCAACAGCACGCAGAGCGTCTCTAGTATGCGAGTAGAGGCTCTAGGAACCAACCAGATCATGTGACTAGCTCTCCTGCACCAAAATCTTAGTAAGCAGCAACTTTCAAGAAGCCCAGAAATGAGAGCCACCCCTACTGCTATATACACACATATTCGACTCGCGTGTGAGGAACGAGTTTGTAACAAAACACAGTATCAAATTCATATTTCAATAGAAGATCATTCGATCATTTCCATTAGCATTAGTCTGGCGATAGCTAGATACTTGTTTCAGTAAATCCACTAATCCTTCCAGAATTTTCCTTTGCCCTTCTTACGGCCCTTGACGTCAGCTTGTTTTACAACGAAAACGCCACGGTCGATTGTGTTGATAACAACAAAACCAGAATCAAACGTATATGCCGACCAAGTGCCAGCATCCCAAAGTGCATCACCGCCTCCAGGCTTCGCGTCGTCTCCAGGATACACATCAAAGTACGCAATCTCTTTGATCTTCGAACCGTCAGGGTAGCGAGGGATAGACGATACATCGAGGATCCTTAGGCCGGCTTGGTAGTTCGATTGATAAGATAGGCCATCGTACACATATTGGTTGTGGTCGACCGAACGGGTGGTCGTCTTGTAGTGGCCGCTAACAAATGGCTTCTCAAGATTTTGGATATCGACCACGTAGGTTACTGCAAACCCGTCTCGAGCAGGTGAGTCTGGGGCTGTACGGTTGGGATCGATTTGACCCTCGTCGAGCTCGTCGTCCATAACAAGGTGAGTTTGCCAGTAAGGGTCAATAACCCAGCCCTGGTGGGTGTAGGAAGCACCGACGTATGGGGTGCGGGAAATGATGGCGCCAGCATTGCCCATACCCTTCTTGTTCGTGACATCATAAATTGTCAAAGTATCTTCGTTGTAGCCGTAGCAAATGTCCCGTCCGTAGTATTTCTTGTGGGGACCACGGTAGACAATGCATTGGAGGTCATGACAATATGAATCTTGTCCCGCACATCCCTCGACGTAGGGCTTAGTTGGATCATCCATGTTGATGAACATGGGACCACCAGCACAAGTATCGTTACGGCCTGGTCGACCGCCGGCACCGCAGGCAACGGCGTAGTTCTTCTCCTCGTTGGCGATAACGGTGTGGGTACGGCCCTTGATACCCTGGTTGATGTCGACAAGGGCAACATCCTTGACCTTGTCGAAAGTATAAGGGCTCTTAGGAGAAAGCTTAAGAAGCTTCTTCAGGTCAAAGATCTGGACGTGGTGGCCGATACCCTCGGATCCAACAATAAGAGAGTCACCGAGGACTTTAATCTCACGCCAGATGACGGAGTCATTCTGGGCGGGAAGACGACCAAGGTACTCAAGTTTGCCCTCCCTGGTAACCTCAGAGAAGGAGGCACCGTAGGTTTGGCCGATGGCAATCTGTACAATAGTTAGTACTGGTGTGTAGTGGTATGTCACGTGATTCGGTATCACGTAATATTCAGCCTCATAGCGCTGCCCATGAGGACAACACCGAACGACATTCGAAAGAGGAAAACATGAAACTCTTCCAACTCGAATACAAGAGACATGGATTTGGACTTGGGTAAACTTACAAACTCACGGCCACGGTGTGTCCATCCCCAGGATCCAGAGCCGTCTCCAATGGGATCACCGAGCTCAGCGTGCGTCTTGAAGTCGTACAAGTCAATGTTGTTGCACCTGTACGTCTGGTCTGGATCGTCCTTGACAGCCTCAACGCGACCAAGCTTGCACTTGATAACGCTCTTGTCGGTCCTCTTTTTCTCAAAGCCGTTCCACCTGGCGCTGTCGAACTTGCCAGCAGCACGTTGCTTGGCCCATGCAGCCTGAATACGTTAGTATCTCCATGCAATGGATGGAATCTCTTGAGCCTACCTCCTTGCCGTTCATCATCAGCTCCATGACCTCTCCCGAGGCATATTCCTGACGAGTAAAGCCGCTGGCCGAGGCCAATGGCAACAAAGCCGTGGTGATAGTAGCCCACTTCATGGTGACGAAGACGACTGCGGATTGACTTGGGCAGTTGGGTGTGGGCCTCAAATTGGGAGCACAAGCATAGTCATTATATATCTTCCCCCTCTCCGTACTACACCACCGGAAGCACCGACTAAGTCATGGTGGTCTTCCCCCCTCGGTCGCGGCCACTGTACAGACCTTCCTATCACAGCTACAACCGACGAGTAGAATGATCCAAGACGCGCGCAGAAGCAACAATACTGGGCGCAGCATGCAACAGTATGCAAGCCAAGTCTGTCAGGTCTTGGGAATACGGTTAAGGGTAGGGTTCCCATATCAACTCCCCTGTGCCAAGCATGAGGCGGTTCTTGGCCAGTATTTCACCCGGAGATCCGCATGGCAGCGCATGGTATGCGTCCTGCAAACAACGACAACCAGGTCTCTGGTAGAATTCAGACAAAAGCAGTGGTAGTAGAACAATTACAAGAATGGTAAAGTATTGCTGTTACTGCTACCGCTACTACTACTGCCACCTCTACCGGAAACTGGAGGTATCGTCTTGATTTCTTTGTTCAAGTACGCAGATCGCGCTGGTCAACAAGGCGGCGGGGCCATGGACACATGAAGGTTCGGTGCTAATCTTCTTCCCCGAATCTCCAGATAGCGTGGTCGGATTAGGCAGCTGCTCTTGCTGCCAAGCTGTTGTGGAATTACACGACCAAAGAAATCCAAGCACCCTGCCATCGGCCATTAGCGTCTACAAAGGGCCTGAAAAGACGAGGCCCATTACCAGCCGACGGGAGCCATTAGCCGAAGTCGTTCTTTGCGAGCACCTTCCTGTAGGAGCGTGTTGTGGCAAACATGTCAGCACTGGTCCAAGTGCACTGGCAGTGGGCAAAGGTAAAAGCGCTGACGCCATGCCGTAGCCTGATGGCCTTATCGCATAGGTAGGCAGGTCGTTACATTCATCACATCTATACCCGGCTTGGCGTAAAAGTGCGATACGGTTGGGATAGAGAGGCCGAGGTGAGGCGAATTTGTGGGAGCCGTGGACGAGCAAAAGCGCAATAGTGCCGTAAGAAAACAGCGGGAGAAACGAGCGTCTTTGTAGGTGCCTCACTGGATCCAGAGAGTATCGTTAATGGTCAATCGAGCGCATAGTGGGCTGCGTTTGAGCAGAATTGAGGCCGTTCTAGTAATGGAGCTGCGTTGTCCAAGCTGATTGGCCTGCGCGAACAAGGTGCATACTGCGTGTTCTTGCTAGTACCAAGTGCAAACCACGGCCACGGTACTATACCTGGGGGATGAGCGGGTTTCGTCTTAACCAAGGCGATCGAGAGTGATCTTGCAAAGCTTGAAGAGCTTGTTGCTGCCGGGGGTTATGAACGTCTGTTTTGGAGTATGACATTGCAGTGGTGGTGAGATGGGGCGAAAGACTGCGGGCGGGCAAACCTCGGCTAGCTTCCCGTACCCTTGCACATCCTCCTCTCACCACCAACGACCCGCTCCCGTAACCACCAATCAACTCTAGCCCGGCCATGAAGCTCACCGAAGACGACCTCTATCGCAACTCGACACAGTATCGAAACTGGTCCTTTACTCGCGCACAACTTGCCGAACAACGTCTAAGGATCAACCTTCAGGCCACTGAGCGCGTCAAGGCGAACCTTGCGCGAGTGCGAGCACAGCGCGCTCAGGATGCTGTAGACAGTGATGCTGCGCCACCTGGCGCGGACAAGGAGAATGCGAGCGGGGCAAATACTCCCAATTCAGGAATGCAGACGACGACTGAGGTCAATTGTCTGACTGCCGAAGAGGAACTCACCGTGGTCAATGAGTTTTGCGAACGCGCCATCGCGCTCGGAAACCATTACAGCTTTCCATTGAACGTAGTTGTACGCCGCTGCCTGGCAATATCATAATGCGGACACCAACTGATAAAATTCCTAGGCAACATGTATTCAATTCATGCGTCGCTTCTATCTCTACAACTCGCCCATGACCTACCACGTCAACACCATCCTGCGTACCATAATGTTCATGGCCACCAAGATTGAGCTCTTCAACATCCACGTCTCACAGTACGCAGAAGGCGCCGGGCGCAATGTGACCACCGAAGACGTTCTCGCACCCGAATACATCATCATGCAAGGATTGCGGTACAACCTCGACGTACGCCACCCTTTCCGCGCACTCAAGGCTGGCCACATGGAACTGCTAGAGATGGTGCACGGAAAGTACCAGGGACCCGTCCAGGATATGACACCAAAGGAAGTGCAGAACAAGATACTCTCATTGCCCGCCAAGACCGGTGGTACAGCCATCAAGATGCCAGAGAAGAAAGTTGAAGAGCGAATCCACGCAGCATACGGCACCGCAACAAACACACTCCGTACTATTGCCGTACTCACAGATGCATACTTCCTCTACACCCCATCGCAAATTTGGCTCTCAGCCCACCTCCTCGCAGACGAGCCCCTCACCCTATTCTACCTCTCTACCAAACTACCCCAATCACATCCCCACCACGCCAAACTCCTGTCTACTCTGCGTGCATGTGCTTCCATCATCTCTAGCCACCGCCTATACGTCAACGCCACGCTCCCCACCGCTGAGCGCGACGCTCGGGAAGCAAAACACAAAGCCGAAGTCAAAGCCCTTGTGCAAAAGTTGAAAAACTGTCGGGACCCAGACAAGGTCGATCTAGTAAAGTTGAATCAGGCGCAGAAGAGAGATGCAGTCCAGGGCGATGCGCTAGAGGAGAGCAAAGCAAAGAGGAGAAAGCTTGCGAGAGAAGGATACGAAAAAGAGTCTGATGCGTTTTGGGGGCCTGAGTTGGTTAAGTCGGACAAAATGGAGAAGAATTAAAGTTTTGGGTTTTTTTCTCACGGTATATGGTTTGAGTGTAATATCAGGATGGCGTTTTACAGGGAACCAAGGGTTTAATAACGATACCATGAAGCGAGTCTGATTTTCAAGAGTACAACTGCGTTAATTAGATTAAGATGCGTAGAAATAAAAGGGTTTCTCTTGTATTTCTGTTCAAATATGAGATTTAATGGGACTTAGGGATCTGCTCGTTATGTAATAGCGAAGCAGAACTGAAGATTCTGAGTGAAAACGATATATTGCCCGATTGGGCAAATTTTGAGATGCAAGTGTGAATTCCTTTAGAAATTGTAATTTGCAGTAATTTGCCCTTGCACTCTGCAAATTGCAGCAGCTTGCAACCATTGAACCTATGTTCTTTCGTTTGACTGCAACTACCCAATTAGGCAATCCTAGAAAGTGATGTAGATTACTGTACAGAAACGAAAATAAGCAAAATGCAGCAATCTTCATGCTGCATCTAGTATCAGTTCGACGGAAGAGGAATTGCCCAAATAGGCAAGTTTGGCATGAGGGGTAGATGACAGCAAAAGAAAAGACGTCGTGTTCGTTTTGTGTCTGCGTTTTCCAGCTGCGTTTCGGCCATTTTGGGTTTAGCGTCCAGCTTACCCAGACGGAGACAGAAAACGCAGGGCTGTTTGGTTGCAGGTCTCCGTTTTGTCCCAACATCTTAATCACGGGATTTATCTGACTCTATCCTTGAGGAAGAATTCGTAAATTCGGCTGTATTTTCACAAAAATTATAGAAGTTGTAACATCCAGCAGTTCTTTGGAGAACAATCCACGAAAATCCTCAATTTTCCAGACAACGACGCCCGTTCAGAACCCTCCGTTTCCAAAACGGAGCCCAATCCAATTAACAAAACGCGCAATCGAACAGGCCCTGAAACTGAAAAAAAACGCAGGCCAACCGAATAATCGCCTCAAAGCCTGCCAAAACGGAGGACCTTATTTACATTTGGTTTCGGTCTAGCTCTCTCTGTCCCCGCTAAGCCCCGTTTAGGCGAGTGACGTAGTTTGGTACCACGGCGCTGGACACTCCCGGTTGCGAAATCAGACGAGACCCTGTTTTTCCCTCTGAACCCAACCTATCGGTGCTTATTTACGAGTGAGGCATGGAAAAAAAAAAGGGGAGTCAGTTCCAAGTCGCGAGAGTAGAAACGGGCGCTCAAGGGCGTAGAAGAAAACAGCAAAAGTGCTCGTTGCCTTCTTATCTACCATCTTCTGCACGTTCTGCGTGACTCTATCATTACTCGCAAGTACATGTTATAAGAGTGGTACTGTATATAGACTTCACACACTTACAAATCCCCAACTCCCTACTTTCTCACCTCAACTAATCTACCCACTACACACACCCCTCGCCTCCCCCCGTATCGCCCTGCTCCAACCCGTCTTATCGGTACCGGACAAATAAAAAGATACCCTCTCCACCACCACCCCAAACGCAGCCAATCACCTCTGCATGCGAAATCCAAACTGCCACACTCGGTAAGAAGTCAGCTTGAGGCATTGATTATAGTGGGTTTCCGCTCGTTCCCCGATGGACCCCTCGTTGCTCCTCCTTTCCTCCTTCTTCGTCGTTTAACGTCTGGACTCTGGGGGGCGCGGGACAAGGGATGTTCCCTGTTTTTTTTTTGCGAGAGGGAGGGAGGGAGGGGCTTTTCGCCTCTTTTGGGTCTCCCCCACAACCATCATCACGATCTCTCCGCCCTTGGTACATGAGGGATTAAATCACGCCACTTACAGTCACGACATGGTCTCGAGATGTTTACAATGTACAAAGATGAGCTTTTGGATTTCTAATATAGCTGATTTTGCGCCACACATTGAGCCAGATAGTCGTCGAGAAAAAAAAGACATGTTTTACCACCGTCCTCCCAAACGCCAGCCATGCAATCATAAAGTGAGCTTCCTCATTGCGATATGAGAGCTTAATCTACATACTCCGACCTGACCTTCTTCGCTCTCCTCTTATTCGCCTTGAAATGCTTCTTGCTGTTCATCTTCATCTCTGCTGGATCAACATCCTGCTCCAGCGCTGCCATCATCTTGGCTTTCCTGCCGCTCAGCTCCTTGCCTTGCTCGCTATACTTGTAGTGGAATGGTTGGCTGACCTTGGCCATTCCTTGGCCTGGGCCGAAGAAGCGCTTGTCCATGCGCTGTGTCTTCTCGCCTTGAATAGGTACGCCACCGTCGAAGTCGTCGTCCATCAATGATGCGCCATCTTCGGGCATGTCTGCAAGGGACGTGTTACCAGGAACGTTTGCAAGAGGGTGGTGGCGACGCTTAGCAGGTAGATGGTTCACATCGTATAGCTCGCGGTTAAAATGCTTCTCGTCAATTGGTGGCTCTGTTGGTGGTGGGTGGCAGAACAAGATCTTGCCCTTGACGTAATCCTTGAGAATGTATCGTGCTGCTCGCGATTCATCGGGTTGACCGAGACCCTGAGTAGAGAAGCCTCGAGCAATAGCAAAGGCGCGCAATACTTCTTCAGAGGTAAGAACACCAGTGCCACCCTCCTCAAGGGGACGAGGATGAATCTTCATTCCATAGAGCGCTTCCAGGAATCGCTGTGGGATTCGCCTGGCAACAAGACCTGCAGGGCCAGTGTACTCTCGCAGTTGGTCAATTGGAAGGACACCAGCACACACAAGCTCAGCCTTGGTTGTCGCAAAGTTTGGGAATACAAGACCAGGGCAATCGCACAAGACGACCTTGTCGCTGAGATGAATAGTCTGGAAATGCTTCGTCTTTCCGGGTGTTGCAGAAACGGACACCTTCTTGGCACCGATCAAAGCGTTGATTGTGGATGACTTTCCTACGTTAGGGTAACCGACCAGACCAATTGACGTCTTGCGCGGCTCGCCATTGGGGCCCGTTTCGACATCAGGTGCATGTTGCAGGAAAAGCGCCTCGAGATCTTCTGTTGTGAGAATTCGCGTTCGCTCGTCACCATCTGCTTCAGCACTGCTCTCGCCGTGAACGTCAACCGTCTCCTCATCTACCCACTTTTCCTCCTCTTCCTTTTTGTCTTGCAGGTCAATCTTCTTGGCCTCCTTTGCGAGTTCGTCATCTTCCTGGTCAACTTCTTCGTCTTCGTCCTCATCCGAGTAGTCCTCTGAGTCGCCCGATGAGTCGCTATCCTCTGCCAACCCACGAGCCTCGTTCATCTCCTTGGCCAGCTCAGCTGAAAAGAACTTGAAGTTGATACCAGCTTCAGTGAAATAGTCGGCCCAAATTTTTCGCTGCTCTAGTGTCATCATATCCGCCTTGTTGACCAGCAGCAAGTTGTTCTTCTTAGGATCGACCTCCTTGACATAGTCCTCCAAATCTTCAGATCGGAACATGAGTGGGTTTCGCGCATCCACAATTTGCACCACGAGATCGGATCGCTCGATAACACGCCATAGTTGCCTCCATACCTCGAGGTTGCGCTCAAAGGGCGTCATGAGTAGATCGTTGTTCTCTTGCAATTCCGCCAAGCCTCTTCGCCACTGTAGCAGCGCTGACCTTTCCAGCTCGTCCAACTCTTGCGGCGTAGTCTGTGCATCCCACTTCGGTCGCCTCGGTACTGTCAACCTATTCCTGTTCTCCTTGTGTCTCCGAGTGACATTGCGCTCCTCAGCAGCCGAGAGGAGGTATGGGTTCTTCTGGTCCTTGTGGATAATCTTGACGTTGTTCATCTTCTCAGCCGTAAAGTCGGTACCAGCTAACTCGGCAGTCGAAAGGAAGTCGTCAAGAGCGCCTTGTTCAGTGACAGAGCGCATCTTTACCCATGCCGCCTCCTTCTTCTCGTTGGTGATGTACTGTCGGATATTAGCATGGTCCAAATAACGAACTATGAGCCTTCTAAACAACTGCGCTATTCTGCGCAAGCCTGCGAAAAGACTCGTATACAATATTACATACCTTCTCGCCATTTTGGCCTGTTCGCTCGATTCCCTGGTTAAAGTTGCCCCTCCGCATATCCGCACCTTTACCCTTGCTGAACCGATCGTTCATCAGGCTGTTGCCCAGCCCGACGCTCTTCTTGGACTTTGCGAGCACCATTTTTACTGCTAATTCCAAATATTCTGTAGTTGTGGTGTGTGATCCCAAAAGAGGGGTGTGAGTCGAAAGAGAAAGTTGGGAACCAAAGTTGCCCCACGTCATTCACTGGTTCCACTCGCCTAAATTATTTTTTGAGCGCCCGACGCCTAAAGACCCTTCGTTTGTAAGCGTGATTCCCCAGACTTCCACAGCCAACACTTGCCACTTCAACACATACCAGAAAAAAGTTACACCACACCTGCAAGATGCCTCGCCGAAAGTTCATGTAAGTAGAGAAATTGCGCGCGCTGCGATACCCCGCTGACCCCGCGAATAGCGATAAGAAGACGGCGATAAACTTTCGCCTCGTGCACCGCGCACAGAATGACCCGCGAATCCACGATGAAGACGCCCCGCAAATGGTCTTTGCCGAGACTGTTGCGCCAAACCAACGCGAAGTATCAGAGCCTGCAGGAAGTTCGCGAGCGTCGCAATACTCGGCAGCAACGGGACGAAGCAAGATCAAGTCAAGACGTGATCTAGAGAGCGAGTACGGATCCAAAGTGCGAAACAACGAGGGTGAAGCCGCCAACTATGGCATCTTCTACGACGACACCGAGTATGACTACATGCAGCACATGCGCGACCTGGGCACCGGTGGCGGCGATGCCTACTTTATCGAGGCCAAGCAGGAAAAGAAGGGAAAGCAAAAGATGGACTTGGCCGACATGCTGCGAGATGCGTCACTGAATGACAGCAAGAGCCAGGCCGATATGAGCGTCAGCAGCAACATCAGCAGCGTGAGCGACCTTTTCGGTGAGGATATGGCACCCTCGGAGTTTGTGCGCAAAACAACATACCAGGACCAGCAAAATATCCCAGACGCCCTTGCAGGCTTCCAGCCCGACATGGACCCGAGATTACGAGAAGTGCTTGAGGCGCTCGAAGATGAGGCCTATGTTGACGATGAGGAGGATATTTTCAAAGAACTAGCACAAGATGGCTACGAAATCGACCAAAGAGAATGGGATGCCAGTGCCGACTTTGATGACGATGAGCGAGACCCAATGGATCGCTTCCTGGACGAAGAAGATCCTGGCTGGGAAACCGACGACACAATCAAAGCATCATCTCCCAAAGTCAAAGCCAAGAAACCATCTGAGGACTCTACGGACCCTTCATCCCTCCCCGCCCCAGATGCAGCGCCCGCCCCAGCAGACGCAGAAGACATGGCGTACCTAAAGGAATTCAAAAAATTCAAAGAGGACGTCAAAGCCGCCAAACCCAACAAGCCCGCCGCCGCACCCGCAGACACACAATCCTTCATCACTGGCGCCTCAGCCCTGACTTCTGGCGGCCGCAAGAAGAAGCGCAAGGGTGCCATGACATCCACATCCGGCTACTCCATGTCCTCATCTGCCCTTCACCGCACAGAAGGTCTCACCCTCCTCGACCAGCGCTTCGACAAAATCGAAGAAGAATACGCAAACGACGACGTCTTTGACTTCCCCGATGACGCGTCCATGGTTTCGGGAATGAGCAAAATGAGCGGTATGACGGGTATGAGTCAGTGGTCTAGCAGTCAGGCCCCGCCTTTGCTCCGCTCGGATTTCGACTCCATCATGGATGATTTCTTGGGTAATCATCATACCCAAGGGAAGCGCAGGGTCAAGAAGGGGAAGCAGCAGACGGGATTGGAGCAGTTGGATGAGGTCAGGAAGGGTCTTGGGGCGCCGATTGTCAAGCCAAAGGATCATTTTAGTGTGCTCAAGGCTTGAGGTCTTGTTGTGCTTTTTTTTCATTGATTGCATGGAATGGGCGTTTCTGGTCATGAATAGGTATGGGAACTGGGTTTCGACCACTTGATGTACGCATGTATACCCACATGTCGGTGTATGGAATTTACGACATAGACGGGGATTATGAAAAATCTTCTTTTTGATTTATCTAGACGTCTTGTCATAAAAATCTCATATCCTTACGATTGTGCCGTTGAATTTATTCGATTCATTCGTTCATTCATCAACATCGTGATACATGACCTTTGTCCTCCTACACCCACATCTCTACTTCCCCTCCACAAAACTCTAAGCCTTGGGCTCGACATTAACCCCCGTAATCCCCTTCTGCAGCGCCTTCTTACTAACAATCCTAAACCCACCGACGAGCATCAGCGCGGCCAACGACCCCGACACAACAGCCAGGGTAACAAACGCGCCAATCACGCCCCCAATCGCCGGCGAAAGCGCACTGCTAGCACCCTCCTTCTCAGCTTGACCCTCAGTCTTCGCCGCAAACGCAGCGCACGATCCCGCCGTGTTACCGCACTTGCCGCACCACTGCTCAGTAGATGTGATAGCGAACTTGCTCAGCTTATCCTTGAATTCAGCCCACGAAATGGCATCCGACTTGCCGCCGAAAAGCGGGTAGACGGATGGTTCACTCGCGTTGCTCGCTGTGCCATTGTGGAACAAGAAGCGCACCTGAAGATCCTTTTCCGCGGGGAATCCAGCACCAGCGTCGGCGGTGGTAAAGAGCTCGAATGCCATGGAGCTGGCGTAGTCGACTACGCCGGTGAAGTCCTGGTTCACGCTGGGTAGGTCTGCGAGACCGAAGAAGGATAGGAATGTGGCGTAGGCGCCGAATTGGATGCCGAGTTTGCTGGAGCCAGAGGTGCGGATTACGTTGGTCATGTAGGAAAGGATTTCGCCTGCGAGTTGCATCCCTGCGACGGCGCGTATGTTGTCGCTGGCGTTGTAGGCGAGGCCCCATTCGTGGGCGTTGGCGAGGGCAGTGAGTTGGTTGAGGGTGGAGTTTGTAAGGACCTCGGAGTTTGGGATGGTGGAGTTGTGAATTTCGGCTACGTGGAGGATGTCGTAGACTTTTTGTTGTTAGAAAGTACTGGAGACAAGGGGTAAGAGAAGAGGACATACCGATGTAGGCGTTCTTGTAAGTCACTTGGTCGTCGCTGATGACGCCGTTGATAGAAGGGACGAGGGATTTGTAAAACCCAGAGGTGCTTGAAGCAAGGTCCTTGTATTCTTGACTTTCAAAGTACGAGTTTGAGCTCGCCTTTGCATTCTGGCAGCTTGAAGCATCTTGGAGCCAACCAGAATCCTCTGAGCCAGCACCGGTTTCAATGGTGTTGACGGGAATCAGCTGGTATCCATCCATGGGCGCCTGGACATTCTGGCCGTTGGCAAGAGTCGAGACAGTCTGAACAGGTGGGTACAGACCCTGCAGGAAACCCATGGCAGAGTTTTGGAGAACATTGTCGACGGGTGCTTGAACCTGCAGCTGGGACAACTTTACTTCGTCCTCGTTGATGCCGCGAATCTTGGATTCACCGGACAGGTAACGTGAGCGGTAGTACTGTCCAGAAGTGTAAACCTGCTCGTATCCAAGCGTGGTTAGGTTGGTGGGAGCAAGAGCCTTTGGTGTACGGTCACCATGGCGATGGAAGACATAAGCACCCAGGACAGTCTCAGCAGCCTCGGCACCAGCCAGCATGGAGAGGGCGGAGAGAGCAGCGACAGACTTCATGGTGGGCAATTGGAGGATTGTCAACGACCGGAGCTGTACGTGAAAACAGGCAAAGCAATTGAACCCAGAGCAGAGCAGCAAAGCTTGTGAGCAGAGGTGGGATGCGGAAACAATCACTGCGGATATAGCAGGACCTTATACTCTATCATGAACTTGTCAAATGCACCCCGCTAAGTAAACATGAGGTAAGCTCCGGAGAGATTGGATATCACGACCCGTAAATCCGTCCAATCTGAACAACGACGGCCCATATGTAGCGGGGCACTTTGCCCAACGTGCAGGCGCTGCGTGCAATGGTGGGATATCGGGGAGGGGCATACAAGTGGGGTGCGGACTGAAGCGTGACAAGCTTTTCCGCGCGAATAATGTTCAGTTGGCATGTGGCAGCCAGGACACAAGTGGACGGCTCAGATAGGAAATTCATCGGGTGGGCCGATTGGTAAGTAGTGGTAAGGATGACGAAGCATGTAGTCTACTCGTCGCTCCCATACAGTATTTCGCAAACCCCACCTATCGGCACATCAAGAACGGCGTCTGTGCCGAAGCTCCACAGGCTCTTCCAATCCACGTCAATGGATGCATCGAACTGGTATGCAGACAATGAGCCTCTACGACTCGGAGGCGCACTTGCTCGGCTGCCATTTTCCTTGTCCTTGTCTTGAAGCTTTTCTGTCAGTAGCCGGGGATCGCGTACAATCTGGCCCGTCTTCTTGTCCACAGCCGCAATCTGAGCGCTGTCATCAACCAAATTCTCGCAGCTGCTCAGCGGCAGCGTGAGGTAGCGCGTGTTGTAGCTCGCAAGCGCAACATAAATGTAGATGACCAGCACAACCAGCCAGCAGGGCACAGCAAGCGCCCACCATCGATTGGGATAGTAGTGTATGCCCATCTGGTGCAGCATTGGCGCTGGCACGTAAGCCCAGAGGATGTACATGAGGAACGCGGCCGAGCTGCCCAGATACAGCGCAAAGCCATAGTACTCGTACGTCGGGACCTTTGGTGAGGCGCGCGGGACTGTTGGCGCATGCCGTGCCGAGTTGGCGAGGTTGGTTGTGTTTGATGTGGGTGTACTCGTCCCATTGCTATGCGAGCCAGCCCTGGAGGTATCTACATCGGACGAGTCTGGAGTTGTAGGTCTTGAGGTTGGCCGGCTGAATGCAGGGCGGAGGAGCGAGGTGAGCGATGGCGACGGCGGTAGAGGGTTCGGCGGTCGATTGTAAAAGGGCGGGAAGAGGGCGGTCCCTGTGTGAACATGCTGGAGATGTGTATACGACTTGGATGTGTAGAGACCCCGAGATACAGGCGCATGCTCCTCTTCCTCGCCCGAAGACTCACTGCCTATATCTTCTACGGCAAACGTACCCTCGTCATCGTCGTCATCGTCATTGTAGTCGTCCTGGTAGTCTTCTACAGAGGCTGTCTCAGAGACGGCACTGTTGGAAACCGGCGAGAGCGGGTCTACAGGGGGAGCGGATCGGAGAGGAGACTTAATCTTTTCTTCCTGCTGGCTCTCTCCATTGTACATGCGCAAGGTTGGTAGATTAGGCGTGGACTTGGAGTAGAAGCCCGAAGGCATCGAGTTCCCCCTACTCTGAGGTGACATGTCATCGGTCGTCTGGCGCAATGGGAGCCGCATGTCCTTTGCGTGCTTGAGCCTCACAATCACGCGTTCGGCGCTAAAATCGGAATCATTCCGAAGCATTCCACTAAATATATACCATCTTAATTGGCCATCTTTGTTATCACTCCTCACGTCATTACACACTTTCAATGCTCATAGGCTTTTGATTCTAGATATTACAAAATCACATCTACAGCTTGCTAGCCTCTCCGCTCGTCCTGTTCAGATACAGAGGATCTTGGGGCTCATAGCCATACTTCCTGCAGAGCTCATCGCCCTTCTTCTTCTGCGCCTCGATCCTTTGCTTGTGTGCTGGTCCCTTCTTGTTCTCATTCCTGCCAAGCTGGAGGAGATGCACCTCATCTGGTCCATCGACAATGCGCATCGTCCTGCCTGACGCCCACATCTGTGCCAATGGCGTATCTTGGCTGACACCAGCACCACCGTAGGCTTGCATCGCCCAGTCAATCACCTTGAGGTTGACCTCTGGTACAAGAACCTTGACCTCGGCAATTTCCTTGAGCGCACCCTTGGCATTGGTCTCGTCAATCTGAATAGCAGCATTGCACACAGCAAGACGGGCAGCGTCAATCTCAATACGCGATCGAGCAACACGCTCCAGCATGATGCCGTGCTTGTTGAGCAGCTCACCGAAAGGCTTCTTGCGCTCGTCGTTGATGCGAGCCAAGAACCACTCCAATGCCTTCTCGGCAGAGCCAATGCTCCTCATGGCGTGGTGGATACGTCCAGGGCCAAGACGGCCTTGGATAATCTCGAAGCCGCGGCCCTCGCCGAGCACCATGTTGCTGGCAGGCACGCGGACATTCTCAAATGTAACGTGTCCGTGACCATGGGGTGCATCGTCGAATCCCATGACTGAAAGCATGCGGTGGATGGTAACGCCAGGCGTGTCATTGGGGACGAGAATGACCGACTGTTGCTTGTACTTGTCGGCGTTGTTGGGGTCCGTCTTTCCAAGAACGATGAAGATCTTGCAGCGCGGGTCACCAATGCCTGATGACCACCATTTCTAAGATCATGTTAGTCAAGAACGGAACAATGGGGATACAAAGACGAACCTGGCCGTTCAGGACATAGTGATCGCCGTCGCGCTTGATGCTCATCTCAATGTTGGTGGCATCACTCGAGGCGACCTGAGGCTCGGTCATCAAGAAGGCAGAGCGAATCTTGCCCTGTAGCAGCGGGTCGAGCCATTGTCTCTTCTGTGCCTCACTGCCGTACTTGGCAAGGACCTCCATATTGCCAGTGTCGGGGGCAGAGCAGTTGACCGCCTCGGAAGCTGTTCGGCTCTTGCCCAGGTACTCGGCCATGAGCCCGTACTCGAGATTGCTGAAGCCAGCGCCCTCCTTGAAATGCGCCTTGGGCAGGAACATGTTCCATAGTCCAAGCTCCTGGGCCCGCTTCTTGAGGTCCTCCATGATGGATGGGTGTGCCGAGAAGCGCTCTTGTACGCTCTGGCCGAGCTGGCGTGCGTATACGGCATCGGCGGGAATACATTCTTCTTCAACAAACCTCTCTACCTATGGCCGCGGTTAGTACAAGCTTTATTGTTCTTAGCTTTCCAAGCTCCTTACAATGTCGAGAGTCTTTACGGCTCTTTCGCTGACAAACGGCCGAGCAATGGCGGGAATGCGCTTGGAAGCTGGAATGTGGCCATTCTGGCTGTTGCTCAGCAAATCAAAGGCTCGGTCGTATGGTACAGACATGGCTGCGTGTGTAGGAGAGGAGATGGATTCTGGAACAACAAGACGAGGGGAATCCGGGGTACTTTAACAAATCGTGTGGAGGCGGCGCATTGGCGGCTATGAAGGGTGCAGTTGCGCTACTCCGCGTCAAAAGTTGCCGAGGTATGTTGCAGATCAACTCCGCTTTGATCTCGCTCTGTTCAACCTCTCACACCATCCATGACTCTCACACAACCGATGGGGCCGGGAAATTCAGATGACCAGCTATTCCCACTCAGGATAGCTGTCAACGATATAGAATATACATATTGTAAGGCACATAAGTACTAATATCCGTATAAGCTATACATGGTTTGATGCGCAGACTCCACTTTTATCATCTTTAGATTTTTTCAATATCAAGGTACGCCTACTGCAGCTGTAGCTGCCTGAAGAGGACATATACAGCGAATCGACCATGGCTTGAGGTGGCGTTGCGCGACTGGGAGCAGCTGCCATTCTCCGGCTACACCGGTTGCATGAAGGCGTGAGCTAGCAGTGATTTGCGGGTGAAACTGGATCTGCGATTGGTAGTGGGCAGGGACTACTGTTACGGTCATCTTTGGCATTGCATATATGTAGTTCCCGGGGCGATGGTAAGTTCCTTGCTGATCCAGTAAGATTAAGTTCCTCAACGACACGGGAAGTAATCGATACACTATGTAAGCTTCCTAATGACGCAGTAAGCAAAGCGGGATGGTATACTTTCCGTGGCTTACCGTACTCTTATAATGAGGCAGACAGTTTGACTGGTAAAAATCAAATCCAACTACCGAAAACACGAACCGGACACAATGCCAGAACTGTCTGCCCAATTCCCCCGCGAGCTCACTGACATGGTGCTGACAGAGCTCGTCCTCTTACACAACGACGACCCTGCCCACCAGTGGACTCATCTCCGCTTGCTCTCTCGGCACCTCAAGGCTTCAGTTGAGCAGCATTTCCGAGACTTTTGGTTACCCAAGCTCTCTTTTGCCATATCCATCTATGGCTTCCCTGACGCTGAGTGTATAGTTTTTGGTCCTCCTCAAGGAAAGAGCGCCAGGTTCGAAAAGAGAGAGGGAGACGCAAGTCGCGAGTATGCGGTATTCGAGGCAGATCATGACCAAAAGTATATGACCACTGCTCTTGGGAGCGAACTGATCGGCTGGTTGCACAGAGCCACCCGCCCGGTGCTCTGGCCGCCACAGGACAATGAACACCCTAAATCCATCTTTGTTCGACTCGGTGAAGGCACCCTAAACAAGGGCTTCACAAAAGGTGGCATCGTCAGCAACACCGCCGTTCCAGGTATCAAGATCAACACCGAAACAGACCCGTGGCAATTGTCATTCGACTGGAAGTCCATGTTCACCTGGCTTTTGACCGAAGAAACATTACTGCAGAGCTTTCGCAACAAGTTACTCGACAACTTTCTACCGGAGATAGAGACGGTAAAGGGATGGGAAGCGAGACAGGTAGCTATATATGGTTTCCTGCTCCGTCGCTATCAAGTCCAGAGTAAATCCATCCTAGCCGCATATTGGGACCACGTCGCCCAACACGCCTCATCTGACGTGTCTCGATCCGTATATTCTCCCGCTGAAACTTTTGACGTTACGCCATACGTGAAGCAACCCAATCTACGCCACCCTCACGCTTCAGCTTTCGACTTTGACGCTGCTATCTCCAGCCTTGGCGGCGGCCAAAGCATCGTCTTCTACATTCCCGGCTGGCAAACCTGGTCGATCTACCAACTCACGCGCATGCGTATCCTCGATGAATTATCCTACGACGACGAGTTTCCCAGTGAAAACTCTAGTACCGACTGTGAACAATACTATATCGATATCCTCCTGCGCCAGAATAGAGTGCTGAAGAGGAGAAAGGACGTCAATGATCGGGTACTTGACAAGCACTTGAGGGGCCCTCTCTTGAACCTCATGTGGTTCTGGATATCGTGCGAAGCTGAAGTTACAGCTGCGTCTCAGGATTTTAGTTTCACCGTCAATTTATTACTAAAACTATCCGCCATTCCAATGTTATGTTTTTTTATTCATCTGTTTAGGTGTTCTGTATTGGAATCTTGTGATAAAGTATCACCACCTATGTAAGGTATTATATTTTTAAACAACGATTTTTAAAGAGGAGGTGGTTAAACAAGTTCATGTACTTTTTCTTCATAGTTAGACTATGACGCGAAATAGTCAACATCACATCATATAATGCAACAACCCTTCATAGTACTTTGGATACATACAAAGTAGCACTAGTTTCTCTCTTCTCTTCTCTTCACCTCCCCAGTTTCCCCTAACTAGGCTTCAGCGAAGCAAGAAAGAACACCAAATTACCATTCTTTTGCATTTTTAGAAAAAAAAACGCCAGAACAAATTCATAACTTCATTAATCAACCTAAACCAAAGAAAACTCCTAGTAATGAAATCATCCAAGAAATCCCCAACTCCTCATACCCCCCTCCTCTCTCTCTCTCTCTCTCTCTCCAAAACTTAAAAGAAAAGAAACCCCATTTCATACCCTCCTAGATCTCCCCTCTCAAAACCATCTGCCCAACCTCTTCCCCCCCAAACCACTTCACCGCGCCACCCTCCTCGCACTCCCACCACGCCCCACAAGCCTTATACTGACAACTATAAAACGCCTTGCGCCTGCCCCTCGCATCCCGCGCATTCATGGCAACCAGGCGCATGGGATACGAGGGATTGCACCAGCAGGTTACGTTTGGATCGAGGCCGCGGGCGTCTGCGAAGCCGTTCCAGGAGCGGCAGGAAGGGTTGGTGCAGAGGCGGTAGGGGCGGGAGTTGTTGAGGTTGGTGGAGTGCGTGGTTAGGAGTTTATTGGGCGAGGTGCATTTGGGGCAGGTGGCGCCTGGGTCGGCAGTTGGGGGTGGGCTGGGTGGAGAATGAGAGAGAGGAGGCGGGAGGGGAGCAGGGAAGGTGGTGGTGATGGGGGTGGGGGTTGTAAGGGTTGTTGGGGCGGTTGTTTGGCGTGAGGGGTGGGTGGTGGATAAGGGGGACGAAGGGGGGGAGGGAGATGAGGAGAGCGAGGGGGGAGATGGGTAGGTTGGAACGGTGGGTTTGGGGCGGAGTGGGAGTGGTTTTTTGGTTCTCGGTGGAGAAGAACAAGAAGAAGATATGGTGGTTTTCTCCTGGGCTTGCGGACTTCCATTTCCGGCAGAGAAAACAAAAGGTTGCGTGGTGGTCTCTTCTTTCTTCTCGTACGAACTGGCTGGTAGTGGTGTTTTCAAGAGACTCTTCGGTTCTTGTCCGTTGGTTGCCTTGGTATATGAGCCTAGCTGCACATCGTCTGTCGAGTATCTTGCTTCCTTGTCACGGCGCTTTGGCAGTGGCTTGATGGGCCGAGCTGCAATGTCCTTCTTTTCATCTTGTTTCTTGGTGTCTGAGGAAGAAGGGCTGATATCATTGAGATCTGGGGCAGAGGAGACAACGGTTTGCACCTTGGACAAGGAGTTTACCGAGTAATCTGGTGGAGGCGTGATTTCCTCCTTGGCTTTCGTAGTAGTCTCGACAACATGCTCTTTGGTTGGTAGTATAGGATCAAGAGCCGGCTGTCCATGCGGTACTGTAGTAACCGTTAGCCATATTAAACTAGTTAAAAGCAAGAAGGGGGAGGGGATATACGAAAGATCTTACCATATGGGTATCTGACAACAGAATCTGAATATTTCCTCCGGCGTCCCGAGCAACAACAGCAAAGTAACCCAAAGAACCCCATTTGTGCAAACTATTCCGTTTTCGATCCAGTGACCTAATTCAATCTGAATATCAACAATATCGACGAACTCCCCTAATCCCTCTAACACAGAAACCCCCTCACACTAGTTATATACACTCCCCCTCCCAGGCACCCACTCTTAACCCCCAATCCCGCCTACATCCTCAGCCTCGCCAACCCAACCCCACACCTACACAGCCCCCCAGTATAACCCCATATCCGTCCCCCCATCCCTTCCCAAAGAAGAAGCGGATACAAATACTCCACCAAGTATCCAGTTAAAAAACGGCGTTCGGAGCAAAAAAAAAAGAGGCTTGAACAGCACATTCGTTCGACGTCGCAGACGATGCATAACCGCCCGCCCACCCCGTCGTCACAAGGGTAAGCGAGGGAGATGTGGCTTGGCAATAACAGCAGTCCGGATGCGGGTGGGTTAAGTCTTATCGATACCTGGGGTGTTAGGTTTTTGTGGCTGAGTTTTTCCGGGGGGGGGGGGAAGGGGGAGGCCAGGTGAATTTGTGGCTGTGGCTGCGATACGGAGTGTCGCGGGATGAAAGAAGGGGGGGGTTTGGCGAGGGTGTCTGGGGTGGGAAGTGGGAAGTCGGCGAGGCAAAAGGTGATGGTGGATGCATGAAGTCGGTGGTATGTCGGGGAGATGGGTGGTTCTTTTGGGGGCGGAAAGGCGGGAGGGAGTGGGTTGGAGGTTTGGGTAAGTGCGGGAGAGATGTGATGAGTAGGTAAAGTAGTTGAGGTACGTTTTTTGACATTCTTCCTTTTTAGGGGGGACTATGTAGAGGGGTTTTTTTTCTGGTTTAATTGCGAGTGGTGTTTTTGAGCGATTGGAGAATGAGGTCGTTAAGGGTGAAGTCTGAACGGCAATCATGAAAAGATGGCAGCCCCAGGCATTCAGGCTACATCAATATTTGCTCTGCTAGTCAAGATTGATAATAGGGCATGTATTCAGGTAGATAGGCTACCAGTTATTCCCTCGAAAAATGCCCACTGTAAATGAGGCGCTGCATCATACAAGCGCCGAAGCCTGGCTATGGCAAGTAGAAATCATCATCATCTAGGCAAGCCACGCATCATCATGTTGGCGAGAAGAATGATATTGGATTGAGATGCGGGTTTCAAGATACGGGAAGGGAAGCGTTTAAGAGGTCGTCAAGTAGGTCGTTCAGATAGAGAGAGAGATACTTGTGGCTTTCACCCCACTCTTATTACAGAATAGAATTGGAATTGGCACAAAGGCTGAGGAAAGCAAGAAATCCAGGCCGAAATAGATGATTCCTGTGTTTATGATGCCTAAGGCGTTTTTGTTGCAGCCTGTTGATGTAGGGAAACGGATTATGTTAGAATTGAATTAGCGTAGCATTTATGATGGACTAGTCGGGATTAGGTTGGAGTAGCACTTAGAAGGTTGAAAAATGCCCTAGGAAGTAAATTAATCAAAATGTTGACCGGTCGATATATCTTTGCAAAAATTTGGGGAGCCAATTTATGTAATGACGCATACATTTGAAAAAACACATCAAGTAAAAAGATATGCGAGAATTCAGTAGGAGATGCACATGATGTAATAATATTGAGTTTAGTAGCATGCAAGGTTGACTTGAATGTTGCATCTGGCATATAAAAACTTGGACTTGGACTAGCAGCACCACCCTTTGTTGGAAATGTAACTACAAGATTATGGAAGTGGTGCTGGTTGGGGAGCCAAGATTTCGGTATAGGTTTAGGACGAGGTTAGCCGTGTAACTGTTCTGATTCTAGCGCGCAGACTAAGATGGTGTAGACACCACATGGAGCACAGGGGCCCGGGAAATGAAACTGTTGAGACTAGGCTGTGGTTATTGTTGTTCTTCTTCTTAAATGCAACGGATTGAAGATGGTATGTTTTACAACTAGTGATGAGATATGCAATGTAGGTAAAGAGTAGTGTGGCCATGTGAGCTACCGTGCGGCTGCAGCTCGGGGATACGTAGATGCTAAAAGTCGGCACTTGTGCATTGAGCAATAATTGCAGTAACATATCTTGCGATTGAAGTTGCTCTGGACATGGACATTGGCATGGCGTGACAAGGTGTCGAGATGCAACAATGGCCTTTGGTCGTGTCATGGCCGATTCAAACATGGTGACCGCAGATGCGGGTTGTGGACAATGCGGCCGATGTCGGTAGCCAAACAAAAGGCAGCGGCACAGTACTGGGAGCACCTAGTCTGCTTGGTCTAAACTCCATGTGCGGAATTGCCGTGCGCCTGACTGCATAATGGGCCGTTGACATTTACATTGTTCGTCAAGACAAGTCGTTTGTGTAACGCAGATGGGCACTCCACAAGGCTGAGATGCATCTGTACATGTTACTCAAAGGTTGACGGGGGGCACACACGGGGCCTCTCGCGGTGAGATTGCATTCAGGTTTAGTCGGCGAATCAAGGAGTGAGCATGGCTGATCAGGCTTCGAGGCAATTTGCTCGTAGATGGCGGCCTGTCGCCAGATCTGAGACCGAGCGGGAAGAGGTGGTGGTACGGGGTTGTTGTGCACCGGTGCGGCGGTTTGATTGACGGGGCGATTGCTCAACAACAATACTTCTTTCCAGCTATCGGCGATGGGGCGTAGTGGTCATGAGTAACCATTACCTGCAAAAACGAAATACAAGGCTCTCGAGATTTCTGATGTAAGAAGGGTAGAGGCAGTGGGGCTCGGTATTTCTTCTGCAGGGGATGAATCCGTGTCGAGCGGGCGGCAGCATCGTGGTGGTGCGGTGGTAGTCACATGATGGGAGCCAATAGGATGCATGTTGATTCCGGACGCGCTAAACGAGCATGCAGGTTGACGTACGAGGGGCGAATCGGGCCACGATAAATTGTGTAACTGGGCTGGGCTGTTAGCTTACCCACACAACATGCGCCAAAAATGCAAGCAAAAAACCCCCCCGTAGTTGTCGCTTCAGCCGCACGCCATTCCGAGCAGTGTGGTCTGGCCACGAGGAGGGTTGGGTTGTGGGATGAGCGTGAGTGGAGGGCAGGGGAGCAGGTGTTGGGCAAGAGGCATTTTACAGCAAAGTAGTGTATGTAGACGTGTTTGCGAGGGCTATTGACACGTGCCTTGCAGCAGCAGCAGCATGGGGCGGGAGAGGCAAGGAAGGGGAGCACGAGCGTCATGAGGAGTAGTATGCAGCAAGGGCAGAAGCTGCAAGTTTTGCCCGTTTAGGCACACAGGTACACGGCGAGAAATTGGGCGTGTAACCCGCACCGAGCAGTCGTTCACACACCGGCCGGTGGGCCGTGGCCATGTCTACGTATGAGGGGGAGCAAGAGCAGCAGGAACAGGAATGTGAGCAGGCGGTGCAGGCAGCCGGTCAAGGGTGGCAGCTTGCACAGAGGGCGGAGCAGCACTCGGCTGTGGCCCGGGAGGGTATGGTGTGAGGATTTGGAGGCGCAGAGCGGCAATGGCGAGCATGGGGAGGTAGGGGAGGAGGTAGGAGAGGAATGCGAGGCATGAGAGGATTGGGACGACGACGAGGACGACGAGGACGACGAGGACGACGAGGCAGAGGAGAGCAGACGGTGGCAGGCGTCAGTAGTATGATGCAGCAGCAGCAGCAGCAGCAGCAGCAGCGCCAGGGCTCTGGGAGGCCCGGGCATTCGGCTGTAGACGAGGGGCGCTAGGACCAGGGTGCAAGAGAACATCAGCTGGCCATGGAGTGGAGCTGCACCACGAGGGCGGCGCCGGAGCGTCTGAGAGCCATGACGAGGCAGGAGAACAGGCGGCGGCGGCGGACATGGATGGCAGCGAAGCGATTGGCAATGCACCACGATGCGATGCGATGTGATGGTCGTCGTCTTGTTGGCGCGCCCGCTGTTCTCTTGTGCCTGCTCTCATCCATCGACACTCGGATGGGCGCCCAAAGCCAACCAAAGCCCCTGCACCCGCCCTGCCTGCTGTGGCTGTGACGGCCAGCAAACCTTTTTTTTCCTTTGTCCCCTTTTTTTCTTCTCGTCGGCTGTGGTTGGCGGGCAGCGGAGCAGGCAGGGCCGTCGGTGCTGGTGCTGCATGAAATTGACAAGTCGGCAGCGTCAAAAAGGCCTTGGTCGTGTTGAGATAGGCTCGCTAAAGCAGCGGGGGCCCTGGATGGCATGGGCGGCGGAGTGGGTGGCTGTAGGTAGGGATTTTCCCCTCGCCGGCTCGCAGCAGCAGCATTGGTATTGGCATCAGCATGGTAGGGTAGGGGAAGAGGTACTTTTAGGCCGCGAGTACTTGGGCCCTAGCAGCACGAGGGCCCTGGCATCAAACGGTCGTGTCGAGAGCGGCCACGCAACCCAGGCTCCTCTTTACCAACGGGCGGCGGCAGCGCCCTCTAGTTGATACCATGGTGGTGGCAGGGCTGTCGACTCTGGACTCTGGACTCTGGACTCTGGGCCGTTGTGCCAGTGTGTGTGTGCCTACTAGCTGTCGCTGTCGCTGTCGCTGTAAGTAGCTGCCACGGACACGGACACGGCCACGGCCAAGTGGGCGCGGCTTATTGTTGCGGGCGGCATGGTGGCATGGCGGCGAAGGCAGGAAAATCTCATGCCTCACGTGCAGGCCGGCGTCGGCAGCTGCAGATGGTCATGTTGAGCCAGCGTCGTGTGCAGCACCATCGTCATCGTCACCACGGCCAATGTATGTACCATGGCGGGTGATGAGCAAGCAGCACCCGACAAGCAGCACGTCAACGCCAGCACTGCCGCCGCCTCACGCCACGCCGCCATCATTGCTATCGTCATGTCTGCGTGGTGTGTGTGTGTGTGTCTATGTCTATGGTGTGGTGTGCCTCTCTGTCTGTGTGTGTGTCTGTGTGGGTGTCGACTGGAGGGTAGAAAAACGAAAGGCGACTGGCGACGCTGCTGACGTCTGTTTCAAGAACGACCGAACGCGCGCATGCTCCCTGTGTGTGTGCATGCCTGTCTGGCTGTCTGTCTGTCTGTCTGCCTACCAACCAAGCTGCTACTCCTTTTGTGTGTGCCTGTTCCTCTCTCGGTTTCAGCTCCAGCTTCTACTCAGCTTCTACTCTCCTTCTCCTTCTCCTTCTTCTCTCTGCCTGCACACAGTAGCCTTGTCTAATAGTGTGCTGCTGCTCCCCACCCCTTCATCCATCCATCCCTCCCTCATCCACATCCACATCCACATCCACAGCCCATCATCCACTTCTCTGCAACGCCCGCCTCTCCTGCAGGTCCATATTTCCTGCACCAGATTTGCCCGCTCCTGTATGGTTCCCTTGGACCTAGCCGCTCCCTTACTGGCCTGCGCGCTGACAAGTACGTGAATTGCAGTCACGTTGACACCCAAACTAGCACTAGGACTGCTGCCCCGCCCTTAATCCCCAGCACTGCCGTCACTCAACCCCATCGTCGCCTCTCCTCGCTCCTTCACAAGCTGCATATCCTCGCCCTCAATTCTCCCTCTGCTGCCTTTGCTCAGCCCAAAAAGTCCCTGGCCTCGTTGCCTGCCCCATTGCTGCTCCGGCCACCACCTGCGCCTGCCCTGGTCGCTAGCTCCGTCAGCCACACCAGCGTCACCTGCTACTGCACAGACGGCACGCGGGACCACGCCCTCTTGACACTCGACCTCGCGCCTACTCCCTGTTGCTACTGCTGCTGCTACTACTCCTCAACCACCACCACCACCAACCACTAAACCTCTCCACCACCACCACCACCACCACCACTCCCTGCCTGCCGCCACCTCTGCCCATATCCACTACGGCTCTCCTCCACCACGCTCGCAAACCCTGCCACACCCTGCTCACCTACAGCCCGCCCCACTCCCGATAGCAATCCGCGCAGCGCTTGCGGACCCCCTCCCCTACGCATAACTCCAAACAATGAGCCAGAACCGGCCATCGGCCTTTTCCTCGCTAAGAATGGGTGGTAAGTAGTCGACCCCCTTAGATCCGCCATGTCAATTGTTGCCATGCTCACTCTCCCCTGTAGAAGTTATCCGCGAAAAGGTCCAGGACGGCTTGACCGGCGACTACAAGGACCTCGCCTATACGCAATGCAAGATTGTCGGCAACGGCTCCTTTGGTGTCGTCTTCCAGACCAAGTTGTCGCCCAGTGGTGAGGATGCCGCCATCAAGCGAGTTCTTCAAGACAAGCGCTTCAAGGTGTGTGTTGCGCGTCGCCTTCCCCCTTCCCACCCCACCCCTCCCCTCCCTTCCCTTCCCTTCCCTCCCACATGCGCGCCCCTCCGGCTGACTCCCGGCTGACTTCCCCCAACAGAACCGTGAACTCCAGATCATGCGCATTGTCCGACATCCCAACATTGTCGAGCTCAAGGCCTTCTTCTACAACAATGGCGAGCGGGTATGTGTCTGCAGCCAAGCGCGTCTGTGTCTGTCGTGTAGCTAACCGTTTCAGCCACAGAAGGACGAGGTGTACCTGAACCTCGTGCTCGAGTTCGTTCCAGAGACCGTCTATCGCGCCTCCCGCTACTTCAACAAGATGAAGTCGGTCATGCCCATCCTCGAAGTCAAGCTCTACATTTACCAGCTCTTCCGCTCGCTTGCCTACATCCACTCGCAGGGTATTTGCCATCGGGACATCAAGCCCCAGAACCTGCTGCTAGACCCCTCGACTGGTGTGCTAAAGTTGTGCGATTTCGGAAGTGCAAAGATCCTGGTTGAAAACGAGCCCAATGTGTCGTACATTTGTTCCAGGTACTACCGTGCCCCTGAATTGATTTTCGGAGCCACAAACTACACGACCAAGATTGGTAGGTGCATTTGATCAAGACTGTGTCGGCTGTGTATGTGTATGTGTGCTAATCTTGGCGTGTAGATGTCTGGTCTACAGGTTGTGTCATGGCAGAGCTGATGCTCGGACAGCCGCTTTTCCCAGGCGAGTCGGGCATTGACCAGCTGGTAGAGATCATCAAGGTTCTGGGAACACCCACCCGCGATCAGATCCGCACCATGAACCCCAACTACATGGAGCACAAGTTCCCGCAAATCAAGCCTCACCCTTTCAGCAAGGTAGGTCTGGTCTCTTGGTCCCACACCCCCAATTTTGCTGTGCCACACTTTACTCACACACACCCCTCAGGTTTTCCGCAAGGCGGATCCTAGCGCCATCGATTTGATCTCCAAGCTGCTCGAGTACACTCCTACACAACGTCTCTCGGCCATCGATGCCATGGTCCACCCATTCTTTGATGAGCTGAGGGATCCCAACACACGCCTGCCAGATTCGCGTCACCCCAACGGGGCCACCCGCGATCTGCCAGAGTTGTACAATTTCACCCATCATGGTGAGCCTTGGTCCCCCGACTCTCTTGTCTCACAGCACAAGTAGCTAACCCCCGTCCAGAACTCTCCATTGCTCCTCACCTCAACAGCCAGCTCATACCGCCGCACCACCGCGCGACACTGGCTGCACGTGGCCTTGACTTCGAATCGCCCAGCTTCAAGCCATTAACCAAGGATCAGATGATGGCCAGGTTGGATTAAGCCATGCTTACTGTCATTCGAAACGATAATATTTCTTCATGCGGCGACTTTTGATCCTCTCCGCTCCTGAGCACAAAGCTATTCCGTCCGGAGAGATGCAAAAAGGAGTCTCAAATGGGCGTCGGTTTTATCAGGTGTATACTACGAGGAGCGCACCCTTTTCTGCTTTGTCTGCGCGCGTCTGAAATGATACCGACATTCACGTTTACAAAGAATGACCTGGCTTACTTTTCTTTCGGGGCTACTGGCCTTTTCGTTTACGCGAAATGATGGTGGGCCTGCACTGCAGATGATGTTCCTCAGTTGCCTTTGGACATGATGAATGAGCGCAAAAGGGTTGCACAAGCAAAGGAATGGGGAGCTGGCAAAATTTGGGATGTACTGAGTATGGAAAGCTGACGAAGGGTCTCGCTCATCCGATTTCCGACGCTTCAGCATGGGTTTTACGATGCGTCACCTGCCTTGCATGCGGGAGTTTTCTTCTTTCTTTGTTATTCAAGATCTATTCAATGGGCTGCACATGGGATGGTGAGGCTCATTTCGCAATTTGGACGGTTTTACCCTGACCCGTCGGAACGGCGATCCTGTGAGGAGAATGGCCTTTTTGCACTGAGAGCATACGGACTGGCAAATTTACGACTGGCACTGGAGCACTACTAGACCAAAGGATTGCATGTCTGCAGTGGAGCAAATGCTTACATGGCAACGACTACCCCTGCTGTCTTACCTGCCTTTTGCGCGAACTCCCTAAATGGATACAAGTCTCTTCATATTCTTGACCTTTTTTTTCTTTGATGTCTTTTACATGTGAAAGTTTGTCTGATACGAGCAAAAGAATAGATGGCATTTGCAAGTCAGTTCATCATGTCTTATTTGGTAATTGCCTGCCTTTTACTGCAGATACAGACTCACTTTGAAACAACGACTAGGCAGTGTAGTGAGAGAAGCAGCAGATTCTATACCAGTTCACAATTGGATACTTGGATACTTTCTCACAATCTACAAAACCAAGTGAGCGTAACATTCATTCTCCTGCTTCATCAGGACTGACGCTGTGAACTCCTCTTTACTGAACAAACTTGACCTTTTCCGGGATACAATAACACAGTATCAGGCACAGCACCAGCACAAAATGCATGAAACCCCAGACGTCGATCCTCAAAAACACCTAGTCGACACCAGTTGGCCAAGCAATGACATGTCCATGTCCGTTGACGTCGAAGATGCATGCACGGAGCGCCAAGACAAGAGCTCAAATGGCGCTAGCCTGTTTGGATCACAAGCTCTCGCGGATGCTCCAGAGCAACTTCCGCGCAGCAACCTCGACAATCCACTTTCGCGACCCATCCGCAAACATCGCAACCGAGTTGCCAGACGCCACGGCCACCCTTCTGGCTTCCCCCACGGCGATTTCTACCGTCCCTACAGCCATACATACAAGGACTACGACAACCCACGCAACGGCACACGCGCTACTAGTAATTCGACGCCGTCGCGACATTGGGAATTCTCACCAGAGATATTGAAGCAAAGGGATCAACCAGATAGTGTCGCAGCCATGGCGGATATCGATTTCAAGGAGGAGCGCGGTGATAGGCGCGAGGACCGACGTGACGACAGACGCGATCGCGGTGGTTATCGAGGGAACAACAAGCGCCGCCGTGACGGTAAGTCTGCTTCTTTGTCTGCTGGCAAACTTGCGCAATCAGTATGCACAAACGGGAGAGTCCTGGAATATTTCACGACTGCGATACTCACCAGGCTGTACCCTCCAACACACTGCTTCATTCTGCGCAATGCTTTCATCTTCAAATGATAGTGCTGACATGGTCGCGTAGATGACAACGACAACTACTACCGCGGTGATGACCGCCGTGGGCCCCAGAGACGCCGCCACGACGACGGCCCCCGTCGCCGATACGAAGAACCCCCATTCCCAAAATTGAGGAGACTGCTTCTCAACATTGCCAGCTCCACTAAGCTACCGCAAGACGAAGCCATTGAAATCGCAAAGTACTTTGGAGAGCACTTTGACGACGAGCGTCTCCG